AACTGTTGCTGTTGTCAGTGTTATTAATTCAGTGATTAATTAATAAAATCCATTTACTGGAAATTACAATTGTAATAAAGAAAACATTTCATAATGATTTAATTAAGAGTTTTACAAATTAACTACTGATATTATCAATTTTAAATTAATTAAAAATAAAATGTATTCTCCAATAAACACAAATTTAATCACAGTGTGACTGCATGAAACAAGATATATAGTCATTAATGATAATAATAATATAATAGTCACAATATTGAATACATGTCATATTGTTAGGAAATTCCTGAATACAGACACTGACACACTTATTTAATTTTAGTTTTGTTTTGGTTGCTATGCCTTGACTCTGGTNAAAGAAATTGAAAAAAATTATTAATATTATATAATATATATTTGCTTAAAAATTGAAATTATTATTACACTATAAATAAATTATGAATATTTATATATTAATTGTAGATCTACTATTGTATATAATTAGTCTTTTCAATTAAAAAAAATTTAATAAAACTTAAATTAATATAATAGATTAATAAATTAACTCTTTTTTATTGCTTCATTTTGAAGGAATCTGTTAATATTAAAAAAGTTATAATCTCCATAAATATAATGCATGAATTGGAAAATGCATTATTAAAAATTAAAACATAAGAAAATTTTATATAAAATATCAATAAAAAACTGATAAAAATACATTAATTAAATCTATAATATTCAATTAATTTAGTTTATATATGTTTATTATTACTTTGCATTATATTTAAGTGATTATTATACAATAAAAATTAATAAACATTAAAACAATATTAAAATACACGCACACACATACGTACACATTTGTACACACATTTACACTACAAAATTATTAATGTATGTATTGTATACATTTATGCATATTGTTATAGTATAAAAAGTTGTAAACCAAATGACAGACCTTCTCTCCCCATCCTAATGTGGAGAAGCCCCTCCAAAGGCTGCAGTTAAAAAAAAGTAAAAAAAAACCCTCTGATTTGTGAATAAAAATTGTAAAATTCTGAAAAAATTTTCCAAATAATGTTAATAAAAAATTTTTGCAAAAAATATCAAAATCAAAATTTCAAGCATTTGGATTCATAATGAAAAAACAAGCTCATGCTTATGTATGGAATGGTGTCGTGCAATTACAATTTTATATTCATTGGTTATTTCACATTGTTCAAAAATACAGACAGTTATGTCATGCCCCAAATATTTTCCATACTAGCAGCTTATTACAATATTTCTTCATGCGAACAGCAAAAGCAATTTTGAAAAAATATCATGCTGGTCAGTAAAAAACATCAAGAAAAATTATGGGTGAAATTTTTTGATCATCATCATAGTTCTGTTTTACAAAGTTTACATGCAGCCTATAGCATATTTTAAAGGGGAGGAAGGACAAGCATCTGCAGCTGAAGACAAAAATACACGCTGCAAAACATCAAAAAATATGTGGATAATTACTCTATCTTCTCTCTGAAGTTGGAACTCCGCTTCCAGCCGTGTCTACTGGACTGAATTAGAGGGAAAAAAACCATGTTTTGTCAGAAATCAAAAAATATAAAAATTTGATAATTACATGTAAGAACTTTCTAGTAACAAGAGCATATCAAGAATAAAAATCTCATATAAAGCCAGTTTATTTTCATCAAAAAATGTTTTGAAATAATCCTAATTTTTCATTAAATATTACAATTATAATTCATCTTTAAACAAAGCAGAAGATCAAACAATAAAAAGAGGGGAAGAGCATTGCTAAATATGCAAACTAGACCAAATTTTAAAATATAAATATTACATTCTTTTACAGCCTTTGAAAAAGCAAAATATTAAATTTTTTTATTAAAAAAATTGTACTTAAAAAATTTTTTTCTATATCGTTTGATTTCAAATTTGGGGTCATTCCTTCCCCCTATGATCTTCCACTGTGTGCTTATAATTTCAAAATAATCACAAAATTCAAAACCTGAAAAAATATTTGTTCTATCATTCAACAAATATGAATATACAGGATGGTCCAAAAGAATCTTTAAAATGTAAATTCAAAAAATGTTTATATATACTGTATATATTAAATAAATAAATGGTGCCAAATTCAAAAATAATTTTTCTGATACCATGATTCATACCTATTTTTTGAAATTCAACCATAAAAATATTAGCAGTTCAAATTATAGAGGAAAAATTGAAATCATAAAGCTGAAGGATGAAGAAGAAAAAAAAAATACACTTTTTGATTTAAAAATAAGATCCATTCCTAAATATTGTTGTTCATAATGTGTTAAACATCACTAATGTCTACTCTTTTCCTGTGTGGACTAGAGTCAGACTGAGCTGGAACAGTCTGTGACAGATGAAAGAGATAGTAGGAGACATGTGGGAGTTGACACATGAATCTTATCTTTTTCAGGTTTTTTTTTTTACATTTTAAAACTATTTTTGTAATATCTTTATCATAAATAATTTTATTGTTTTATGTTTTTTTTTACAAATTTATTACTGTAATCCACATGTCAACTTCCATGTCTCCTTCCATCTCTTTCAATTGACATGTACCCTTCCAGCTCAGTCTGATTTGTGTCTACTCTTTCATTCTATGGACTATAGTGAGCTTATAAAAAAGTTATAAATTTGTCTTAAGAGAATTCTTATAGAACTGTGCATATTGTTTGTTTCAATTATTATTTTTCATATTATCACTTTTTTATTGCAAATTTATTTATATTAACTGTATGCAATGTGACAGAACCAGTTATGATTTGAAATTTCTATTCAAATTTTTGTAATATGATTCTTTATCTTATTCCATTTTGGAACTCCTTTGAATTGTAATCTGAAGATGACTTGATAAATTAATTGAAAACACTTGTTTAACATACAATTATTCATTGTTTAAGGTATTTATTTCTGTTTGTGATAAATACTTCTAAAAAACTAAAAACAGTATAATTCTATATTTTGTTGTTTTAATTTTGCTAACTATTTTTATTACTGAATTATACTAATTTGCTTTTACTGAGTAAGCTTTTACTGATTAATATAGTTTTATTATCTAATTCACAGTCCACATTTTACACATAAATAGATTGTAAAGTTTTTCCTTTTTTTTCATCAAAAATCTCAATGTAACAGTTGAAGGACCTGTTGAACCTATTCACTATGCTGTTCGTTAAAGCAAATGCTTGTAAATCAAACATTTAAAAATCAAGAAGTGCTTGCATTTGCAAAACAACTATATTTTCAATTGATTAATAAAACTATCATGAAATAATTATTTTTATCTTATTCAGGAAGTACAATGCAATTATGGCTAGAAATTATGTAATTATAATTTATAATTGTTGTTATAAATAATATATGGCATAATTCAAGTAACAGAATACAATTTTTGTGCTTTCTGAATTATGGTAAAATGAATCATTTTACCATAATTCTATGATAATAATAAGGAATTATGGTAAAATGAATCATTTTACCATAATTCCTTATTATTATCATAATAACGCATAATAACTAGATCTTTTAAAATAATATTCCAATTTGTAATGTTTCTCAATGTAACCTGATAAATCTCTTTAGAAGTTTTTAGAACTTTCTTTAGAACTTACAAATTCTAAATTTTTAATAAAGTGTCTACTAACTTTATCAAATAAAAGTGCATATTGTGAAAGGGGTGATTAATCAGTGATAATTCCTTGGGTGCATATACTTTTGGAATCAAACTGATCCAAGATTACTGTAATCATTCAAATCGTGTATACAAACTATAACAATCTGTTCAATCTCTATCTCCATATACAAATGCCATCTAGGATCGACTGGATCATGATCAAATTAATCTGAGCAGTGGATAGGAATGTTCAAATTGGATAAAAAAGATTAAAGATGGCAACCTCCATGGTTAAAGTCAGGCTTGTTGACATAGTTGACAGCAAAGAATTATGTTTAACTGTTAACAATGAGAAAATAGGAAGCATATATCGAAATACACTTGAGAAGAAGATAAAACCCTAGACAAGATGGAAGAAATAACAGATGCAATAGGAGAAGCAATTCAGCAGACCCTACCAGAAGAGGAAAAAATTAACAAGAAATGGATCACACAAGAAACCCTAAAGCTTGTCCAAGAAAAAAGGGCTCTTAGACTTAGAAGAGACATTTCTGAAAAGTTGGAAAAACAGTATAAGATAAAATGCAATGAAGTGAAAAAAGCAGTTAGGATGGATAAAGCAAAATGGCTAAAGGATCAGTGTAGAAAGAGAAAAATATTAGGGAGAATTTAAGACCATAATATAAGTATAATGTATAATATAATAGAAGTATATAAGATGATCAAAAATGTCAACCAGAAATGGAAACCAAAGCAAATGGCAATCAAAAATGAGAAGGGAGAGGTTTTAGTGGACAGGATGGAAGTCCTACAGAGATGGACAAATTATTGCTCTGAACTATAGAAGGAAATGTTAGATACAGATGTATTATAAAATCTAGTAGATGATTAAGGAAGTTATTGTTATCAAGTGTTGAAAATGAAAATGATATTATGAGGGAGTAAGTTGAAAGGGCAGTGAAATGGTTAAAAGACAATAAGAGTCCTGGACATGACAAAATCACAGGAGAAATGATTAAGCATGGAGGAGAAAGCTTAATTGATGAGATACAATGAGGTATAGAAACAAGGAAAGATACCTAAAGAATGGGCAAAATCAGTATTGGTGACAATACATAAGAAAGGCAGCATGTTAGAGTGCAAGAATTATAGAACGATTGGCCTAACTAGCAACATAGGAAAAATTCTGATGATTATCTTAATAGAGAGACTAACGGGTTGTTGTTAAATTCAGCGCTGCGAACAGCGCTTCTAAGCGATGCCGCTGAGAGCGTTGTTAAACTCGTTTTCTTGAAGCGCTGCGCGCAGCGAACTTCTCAGCAATTTCACTGGTTTGAGGTTAAATCTGCAGCGATCGAACGAGGTGCTTTTTGCGCTTAAACAAAATGGCAGCCACCACGATGGAATTCGTCGAATTTGTTTACGAGAACTTAAAAATTGAACTAAAAGTTGATTCTTCAATTAAACGTCGTTTAGAAAATGGTAAGTTATTGTTTTTCATAACGCTTTATTAATTACACGAAATAAACTCGAAATTCACACAAAAAATTATATATTAAAGTTTGTGTAAAAGACTGTACAGGCATACTTTTTACATAATTGGTTTGATAAATTACATTATACAAATAATAATCACTTTCTACGCAATATTAGTATCTTAAAAGTAATTCCAACGTGATATTATTAAGAATTGCTGTAAACTAGGCTATATCATAAGCAAATTGCTATGAATGGTATAAATAAAGGCTTACATATCCTTTAATTTATAGGACTTTATACACGTGTATTTTCCAAAAAAGAAAAAAAAATGCATTTTGGATTTATAGTCTCTCATCAGTTGGAACATAATATTCAAATGTATACAATAACCAATTTATTACCCCTTGTGATAAAGGTTACCTTGAACAGTTACAGTTAAAATTACAATTAAATTGTATAAATTAGTTTTATTATGAATTGGAGGGTATGATAAGCATTTATAGCATTAATAATAGTAAAACTAGTTTAAAATAATTAAAAAGGACAAGTCATTTGTTTAGTTCCTATCAAACAACAAAAGTTCATGTTCTTTTATGGTTTTCAGATCATGATTTCATTCCTCGGTTTTTTGAAGAACTGATATATGAGAGGGGAATGAGAGAACAGATTGGTTTACCAGAAGATGTTGATATTAATTCAATAAGACTGGCCAGCAAATCACACGAGGAGGGAGAATCAGGTATGTATATGTTTATATACATCAGTATATACATGTATATACTAATACACTATAAATAATAGTTGTTCTTTCATATTGTTGCAGGAGACTTCTCTTGGACTGATTCCTCCACGCGGTTGTTGATAACAACACGATTAAATATGGACGATGAATTCAGAAAACCCATAAGAAAAACAAAATTATGGGATTCAATATCAAAAAAGATGGAAAATCATGGTTACACTATTTCTCCCAGTGACTGTGATAAGAAATGGAGAAATCTGAAGACGACATATAAAAGAAATAGAGATAAGGCAAAACAACACACTGGGGAATCTGCCATTACCTGGCCATACTTCAAGTTACTGGACCAGGAACTTGGATCTAGAGTGGACATCAATCCTCCAGAAGAAAGTATCATTTCTTCTGAACCATGCGTGGAGCAGATCCCATCTCCCAGTGAACTTTCAAGCAGTTCGTCAGGATTGCCTGCCCACTCTGAATGTGATGTGGCAGCAGTACATCCCCCTTCAATAAATTCTTTTCGGAATCACACAAATTTAAAAAGAAAAAGAAAAGAAAATCCACCAGAGTGGTTTCAAGCTTGGGCCAGTAAGCAAGAACAAGAAAAGAAAGAGGATCGTGAGAGAGAAGATCAGCGCTGGCAGGAATTTAAAGAGATCGAAGAAAAGCGTTTGAAACAAGAGAAAGAATGTGAAGAGAAGAGAGTAAACATGATGAGTTCTCTTCTAAATGTATTGCAAAAAATTGCAGAAAAATAAAATAACAATATGTGAATTCATTGCATCTGATTTGTTTTATTTACAATAATTTTTACATTTGATATTTTTAATCTTTGCTCAATTTTTACATTTCCCCCAATTATTTAACTTTAGTATAATTCAATGAATTGTATAAGTGAGAATAACATTTATTAAACAATTTCATATAACTAATGAGAAAATGATAAAATTGTACATAAAATTTTAAATTTATATGATTTTACACATATATTTTAATAAAGTTTCTGATAATAAAGGCTAATAAATACATTTCTAACACACCGGTTTCATACATGCTGGGTTGATCAGCCAGTTTCAAATATATTATTGTATTAAAAACAAATTTCGTCTAGTCTCCTCGTCATTGTATCCTTACACTAGATTATCACTTTCTTGTGAATTGTCTCCTATACTACTATTTTGTAGTCTCATGACACCATAAAGATAATCAGCAATAGCATCCCTCTTATTATTTGCTGCATTAGTTGAATGTTGGCTTGGGTGAGGCTGGAAAGGAGTGAAATGTTTATCCTCATCTGGACTAACATCACTTTGTAGAATACAAAGATTATGTAAAACACAAGCAGTAAGAATAATTTTAGTTAAGTATTGCTTGTTTCTTACGAACAAAAATTTCAGTCGACGAAAGCGTCCAAACAGATCACCATATGCTTGTTCTATTACTATGCGAGATGAACTTAGTCTTTTATTAAAATATTTCTGTTTGGAATTCAGATGTCCATTGTCCTTGTAAGGAACCATCAAATATGTCTCTAGTGGGTATGCTGAGTCACCAAGTAAATGGCAGTTCTCTGGGAGTGGGAGAGTTTTATTTGATAACCCAATCCCTACATCACTGTTTCGCCACACCCTTGCATCATGTGCAGATCCCGGCCAGCCAGCATAAACTGCAGTAAACATTTTGTCACTTCTGCAGATCCCTTGAAGTATGACTGCAGTGCACTGCTTCCTGCTGTAATATTCTTGCTTTTCATGATGACAAACTGTTACTTGTATTAATGTCCCATCAACACATCCAAAGACATTTGGAAAGCTGTTTCTGCCCCTTAATGATGAAAAGTTTTTTACCACTTCTTGGGCATCCTTATCAACTGGCCATTTAATGAAAATTTCTTTTAAATTACAAACACCTTTACAAAATACTATGAACAACCTATGAGCATGTCCTTTATCTAGTCCAAAACGGTCACCTACGCCTCTAAAGGATTCCTGATTTCCTAAAATCCATAAGGACAATAGGACAACCTTTTCTTTTTTTACCTCTATAATGGATGACCGTCCAATTTTCTTCGTTTCTTTTAAATTCAGAATCTGGCAAAGGTATTCGACGCTTTCATGCTGAAGTCTGAAGTGGCCTTTAAAATCCAGATTACTGTATCGAGGAATAATTTCCTCATAATAGTTTTGTATCTTGGCTTTTTTCCGCGGTTGCACCACAACAGAACTTGCCATTCCAGCAATTACTTCGTCGTCATGTTTACGCTTCCTAAATAAGACATTGTATCGCAAAAATGAATTCTTTTTAAAATTTTTCGAATTAAATAATTCGCTAAACATTCCAACAATTGCACTGAGAGCTGCCATTTTGGAACTGCAGCGCTGCCCCGTGTGTGTTGTTAAAAGACATTCAGCAGCGATCGCAGCGCTGAATTTAACAACAACCCGTAAGTAGTTTGATGGAAGAACACTTAGCAGATGAGCAGGCAGGTTTCAGGAAACACAGAAATACAATACAGCAGATACTAACATTATGGCTATTAGTTGAAAAGACAAGAAGAAAGCAGAAAAACATCTATTCTTGCTTTGTGGACTTTCAGAAGGCATTTGACAGCATAGACCAAAAAGCCACCTTGGCAGTGCTAAAATCTTATGGAATGGATCATAAACTAATAAACCTATTATATTAATGATAATGCAAAAGCAACAGTGAGATTGTGTGAGGAGCTAGGAAACTGGTTCAAACCAAAAAGAGGAACCAGACAGGGAGATCCTATATCCCCAACTATCTTCATAAGTCTCTTAGAAAGTGTTATGGATAAGATGACACAAGAGATGCAGGGAAGTCAGTTCACGGTGTAAAATTCAATAACCCGAGATTTACAGATGATATAGTTATCATTGAAGAAAGTGAAGATCAACTAGAGAAAACATTACATCTGCTTAATGAAAAAGGAAAAAGATATGGACTGATTATCAATAGCAAAAAACTAAGACAATGATATCTGGTAACAAGAAACATCCTAGTAGATGGAAGGAAAGAAATTGAAAATGTAGAGAGCTTTACATATTTAGGAAGCAAACTAACCTATAAATTGGATTGCAAAAAAGAAATAGCGATTAGAATAGCCAAGGCAAAAACAAATTTGAAATCAATGGACAAAATCTGGAAAAGTAAAGCAATTAGTTTTCAGACAAAATTAAAAGTATTGAACACCTCATCTTCTCCTGCATGCTGTAGGCCTGTGAGACATGGGTAATAACAAAAGACATGGAAAGAAAAATATTAGCATTTGATTTATTATTTATTTAGCGTATGGCTTATACATGACACAAACAAAGCGTAACAAAATGGAGTAATACAAAACCAGAAGTGAAATAAAAGAATAAGAAGCAGTAAGACTATATGCAATTAAACTATTGTAAAACTGTACAAATATGTGACTGCACATGTACACAAGGATATAAAGAGCGTTCAGAGTTGTAGATCTAACTCGCTTATCCACTTTACGGCCTCTGAGGTGACATTAGTATGTCACTCCAGTCTCCCGGGTAAGCCCGCAGTCTACATTCGCGTGCAATGTGCTCAACAGTCTGATGTGGAGCACCACAGTCACACTCCGGGCTTGGAACCTTCTTCCATTTGAACAAAGAGTCCCTACACCTGCCATGGCCTGTCCTGACACGGTTTAATGCGGTCCATGTTTTGTGAGGTAAGTCGAAACCCTGGACTTTTCCTCTACGACAGAACAGACCATGCAAGTGGGACTCCATTCCTGTTTCCCAGCAGATTAGCATTTGAAAGACACTGTTACAGAAAGATCTTACAAATAGGATGGATGCAGAAAGTCATGATTCTTTTTCATATAATAATAGATTCTTTTTCATATATATCGTACAAAAAATTATACAACGAAAACTTCAACTGTTTAGATACATCACAAGAATGAATGAAAACAGAAAAATTAAGACTCTAGTCTATGGTATTATGTACAAAAGAGGCAGACCATATAGAGAATGGATTGATGACCTGAAGAAGTGGTGTGGAGCAAATGTACAGGAATTGAGAAAATTGGCAATGGATAGAGAGAAATGGAAGAAAATAGTGGAAAAGGCATCAGACACCAATGGACAATAAGCCCAGGGTTGATAATGAAGATGATGATAACAATGGAAAGTATTTGAAACTTATAAATGGTAAGTAAAAACGTCATTATTAAAATATCTGATAAACTGAGATGAAAAAAGTAAGTATTAAGAGACAATTTTGCGAGATTGTACAGCAAGAATGCATGGCATGCACTTTCCATTTTTGGCATTTTCTGAGCAATTTTATTTACAGAGTAAATATGATTCAATCTTGCTTGTGTGAGAGCCCTGATTTGACAAAAAAATTTAGTCAAAAATTTTTTGAAAAAGAAAAATCAGAGAGAATGATTAAAACTTTTCCTGCAGACTTGTTTTCTTATTTGAGGTGACACATCAAATGTGTTACCCAGAACTGAAACTTGAAATTCAACAACTGGACTGTTGTATGATAATTCTTAATGAAGTCATGGGAAAAACCCATGAGAGATCACCAAATACAAAAAGGAGGTAGTTTGCAATCATTGAGAGTTCATTTTAGACTGGTGTTCATGCCCGATTCTGTGTGGATATTGTTCTAGCCATCGCCGATCTTCCCCCTTCTCAAGACATCCAAGACTTCTGAACTGACCTGGTGGATCCGCAGTTCACTGATTCTGAGACTCTGACAAAGGACCAACTTCTACTACTAAGGTATTTACCAATGCATAACCAATTGTGACTCTCTCTCTGACAGGAATCTGCAATATTAATGATGAAGGATAATTTCCTATAACTGTTATTCAGAATTAATGCTAGCTAAGCATCTTAACCCACTACTGTATCTCTTTGCTATATAAATAAACAGGTATTGTAAAATGTTTAAATTCATAGTAGTGTACACTTCTTCCAGTCATGTTCAGGCCATCTCCATCCCAAATCGGAGCACCTACAAATGCAACTGATCATGTGTATCAAGGTTTCTGTGTCTGTCCTTAAAGACACAGTGGTGTCAGTCCTGACGAACTGTTCATCGCAAACACGCTGTCAACCCTTCACCACAGGACCCTATGCTTCGGTCCTGTGGTGCCAAAGCATAGAGGATGCTCCAGCATTGTCACACTTGTATACTTTCTGCTAACTAATACACATGACAGAAGCAATCTGTATCATGTGACAAAGATTGATCTGATCTTGCAGATTGATCCATCTGAAACAAAAACTATATGCACTCCTGGAGCAAAGATAAAAGTGAACTGATTATTTAAACTTTAAAAAATGAAATGAAATTTAAAATGTTATTAAATTTTGTAGGAAACTATAATAAAGGATAAATACATTTTGCAAAATATCAGAAAAAACTGAAAAACATTATCAATAAAAGTAACTTTTAAAATTAACAAGGATTTAATATATATTGAATTTGTTTATATGCAATATATATAAACAAACATTATTTTACACAATATCTCATTTTTATAATTTTTTTCATATTTAATATTTGTAATAGTTATAAGAAGTTCCTTCTTATTAGGATAACCAGATATAGACTTTTTAAGAGTACAGTATTATACTTTTTTTATGAATCCATATATTCTATAATCTCTTTTCTTCAGTAAAATCACAAATTATACTCTTTTCATTTAAAAATTATTTCTTAAAAAAATCACTCAATCACCAAATACATGGAAAAATCACCAGATCTGGTGATAAATTATGAGTCTTTGCAACACTGATCTAGTTTCTGATCTTGAGGGATGAGATTAATAGGATAAAGCCATGCAACTCATGTTTGATCTGCCAAGGAGAGGGTGTCTCCTGGAAAAACTTTCTATGGGAAACCAGCCCCTATTTAGCTGCTAGACACATGAAAAAACCAGATGACACCATGTGGCCAGCCTGTTGGCAAGACACAAACCAATGACCAACTACCAGTGTTCAATGCTTTTATCCACTGGTGGGCTGTTTCTCATTGTTTATAGTTGTGTTATTTGCATATTTCAATTTATTTTTTTTAGAATTAAAGCAATATTACAGGGAAAGTGCCAATATAGCTTTCTGTGTGGTATGCATAACTAATTTAAATCTTCATCCCTGCTTTAAGATTTCCAGGGTAGATGTTATCAAGTAAATAAATAAAATACTTTCTTACTGGAATTATACTATAAATAAAAATCAAAACCTTTAAACAATCCAGCAAATCATTTTTTAATATCTTAAAAACACTTTCAAATGCTTTAAGTGATCATCCTCAGTTACCATTTTGAATCGAACGAAGAATTCAAAATTACGTAAAACAAAATTCAAAAAGTGGTTACATAAATATATGTTAACATTTACCAAGTTTAAATAATTGCAAAAANTATTACTGTAATCCACATGTCAACTTCCATGTCTCCTTCCATCTCTTTCAATTGACATGTACCCTTCCAGCTCAGTCTGATTTGTGTCTACTCTTTCATTCTATGGACTATAGTGAGCTTATAAAAAAGTTATAAATTTGTCTTAAGAGAATTCTTATAGAACTGTGCATATTGTTTGTTTCAATTATTATTTTTCATATTATCACTTTTTTATTGCAAATTTATTTATATTAACTGTATGCAATGTGACAGAACCAGTTATGATTTGAAATTTCTATTCAAATTTTTGTAATATGATTCTTTATCTTATTCCATTTTGGAACTCCTTTGAATTGTAATCTGAAGATGACTTGATAAATTAATTGAAAACACTTGTTTAACATACAATTATTCATTGTTTAAGGTATTTATTTCTGTTTGTGATAAATACTTCTAAAAAACTAAAAACAGTATAATTCTATATTTTGTTGTTTTAATTTTGCTAACTATTTTTATTACTGAATTATACTAATTTGCTTTTACTGAGTAAGCTTTTACTGATTAATATAGTTTTATTATCTAATTCACAGTCCACATTTTACACATAAATAGATTGTAAAGTTTTTCCTTTTTTTTCATCAAAAATCTCAATGTAACAGTTGAAGGACCTGTTGAACCTATTCACTATGCTGTTCGTTAAAGCAAATGCTTGTAAATCAAACATTTAAAAATCAAGAAGTGCTTGCATTTGCAAAACAACTATATTTTCAATTGATTAATAAAACTATCATGAAATAATTATTTTTATCTTATTCAGGAAGTACAATGCAATTATGGCTAGAAATTATGTAATTATAATTTATAATTGTTGTTATAAATAATATATGGCATAATTCAAGTAACAGAATACAATTTTTGTGCTTTCTGAATTATGGTAAAATGAATCATTTTACCATAATTCTATGATAATAATAAGGAATTATGGTAAAATGAATCATTTTACCATAATTCCTTATTATTATCATAATAACGCATAATAACTAGATCTTTTAAAATAATATTCCAATTTGTAATGTTTCTCAATGTAACCTGATAAATCTCTTTAGAAGTTTTTAGAACTTTCTTTAGAACTTACAAATTCTAAATTTTTAATAAAGTGTCTACTAACTTTATCAAATAAAAGTGCATATTGTGAAAGGGGTGATTAATCAGTGATAATTCCTTGGGTGCATATACTTTTGGAATCAAACTGATCCAAGATTACTGTAATCATTCAAATCGTGTATACAAACTATAACAATCTGTTCAATCTCTATCTCCATATACAAATGCCATCTAGGATCGACTGGATCATGATCAAATTAATCTGAGCAGTGGATAGGAATGTTCAAATTGGATAAAAAAGATTAAAGATGGCAACCTCCATGGTTAAAGTCAGGCTTGTTGACATAGTTGACAGCAAAGAATTATGTTTAACTGTTAACAATGAGAAAATAGGAAGCATATATCGAAATACACTTGAGAAGAAGATAAAACCCTAGACAAGATGGAAGAAATAACAGATGCAATAGGAGAAGCAATTCAGCAGACCCTACCAGAAGAGGAAAAAATTAACAAGAAATGGATCACACAAGAAACCCTAAAGCTTGTCCAAGAAAAAAGGGCTCTTAGACTTAGAAGAGACATTTCTGAAAAGTTGGAAAAACAGTATAAGATAAAATGCAATGAAGTGAAAAAAGCAGTTAGGATGGATAAAGCAAAATGGCTAAAGGATCAGTGTAGAAAGAGAAAAATATTAGGGAGAATTTAAGACCATAATATAAGTATAATGTATAATATAATAGAAGTATATAAGATGATCAAAAATGTCAACCAGAAATGGAAACCAAAGCAAATGGCAATCAAAAATGAGAAGGGAGAGGTTTTAGTGGACAGGATGGAAGTCCTACAGAGATGGACAAATTATTGCTCTGAACTATAGAAGGAAATGTTAGATACAGATGTATTATAAAATCTAGTAGATGATTAAGGAAGTTATTGTTATCAAGTGTTGAAAATGAAAATGATATTATGAGGGAGTAAGTTGAAAGGGCAGTGAAATGGTTAAAAGACAATAAGAGTCCTGGACATGACAAAATCACAGGAGAAATGATTAAGCATGGAGGAGAAAGCTTAATTGATGAGATACAATGAGGTATAGAAACAAGGAAAGATACCTAAAGAATGGGCAAAATCAGTATTGGTGACAATACATAAGAAAGGCAGCATGTTAGAGTGCAAGAATTATAGAACGATTGGCCTAACTAGCAACATAGGAAAAATTCTGATGATTATCTTAATAGAGAGACTAACGGGTTGTTGTTAAATTCAGCGCTGCGAACAGCGCTTCTAAGCGATGCCGCTGAGAGCGTTGTTAAACTCGTTTTCTTGAAGCGCTGCGCGCAGCGAACTTCTCAGCAATTTCACTGGTTTGAGGTTAAATCTGCAGCGATCGAACGAGGTGCTTTTTGCGCTTAAACAAAATGGCAGCCACCACGATGGAATTCGTCGAATTTGTTTACGAGAACTTAAAAATTGAACTAAAAGTTGATTCTTCAATTAAACGTCGTTTAGAAAATGGTAAGTTATTGTTTTTCATAACGCTTTATTAATTACACGAAATAAACTCGAAATTCACACAAAAAATTATATATTAAAGTTTGTGTAAAAGACTGTACAGGCATACTTTTTACATAATTGGTTTGATAAATTACATTATACAAATAATAATCACTTTCTACGCAATATTAGTATCTTAAAAGTAATTCCAACGTGATATTATTAAGAATTGCTGTAAACTAGGCTATATCATAAGCAAATTGCAATGAATGGTATAAATAAAGGCTTGCATATCCTTTAATTTATAGGACTTTATACACGTGTATTTTCCAAAAAAGAAAAAAAAATGCATTTTGGATTTATAGTCTCTCATCAGTTGGAACATAATATTCAAATGTATACAATAACCAATTTATTACCCCTTGTGATAAAGGTTACGTTGAACAGTTACAGTTAAAATTACAATTAAATTCTTTAAATTAGTTTTATTATGAATTGGAGGGTATGATAAGCATTTATAGCATTAATAATAGTAAAACTAGTTTAAAGTAATTAAAAAGGACAAGTCATTTGTTTAGTTCCTATCAAACAACAAAAGTTCATGTTCTTTTATGGTTTTCAGATCATGATTTCATTCCTCGGTTTTTTGAAGAACTGATATATGAGAGGGGAATGAGAGAACAGATTGGTTTACCAGAAGATGTTGATATTAATTCAATAAGACTGGCCAGCAAATCACACGAGGAGGGAGAATCAGGTATGTATATGTTTATATACAAGTACATCAGTATATACATGTATATACTAATACACTATAAATAATAGTTGTTCTGTTGCAGGAGACTTCTCTTGGACTGATTCCTCCACGCGGTTGTTGATAACAACAAGATTAAATATGGACGATGAATTCAGAAAACCCATAAGAAAAACAAAATTATGGGATTCAATATCAAAAAAGATGGAAAATCATGGTTACACTATTTCTCCCAGTGACTGTGATAAGAAATGGAGAAATCTGAAGACGACATATAAAAGAAATAGAGATAAGGCAAAACAACACACTGGGGAATCTGCCATTACCTGGCCATACTTCAAGTTACTGGACCAGGAACTTGGATCTAGAGTGGACATCAATCCTCCAGAAGAAAGTATCATTTCTTCTGAACCATGCGTGGAGCAGATCCCATCTCCCAGTGAACTTTCAAGCAGTTAGTCAGGATTGCCTGCCCACTCTGAATGTGATGTGGCAGCAGTACATCCCCCTTCAATAAATTCTTTTCGGAATCACACAAATTTAAAAAGAAAAAGAAAAGAAGATCCACCAGAGTGGTTTCAAGCTTGGGCCAGTAAGCAAGAACAAGAGAAGAAAGAGGATCGTGAGAGAGAAGATCAGCGCTGGCAGGAGTTTAAAGAGATCGAAGAAAAGCGTTTGAAACAAGAGAAAGAATGTGAAGAGAAGAGAGTGAACATGATTAGTTCTCTTCTAAATGTATTGCAAAAAATTGCAGAAAAATAAAATTGTTTTATTTACAATAATTTTTACATTTGATATTTTTAATCTTTGCTCAATTTTTACATTTCCCCCAATTATTTAACTTTAGTATAATTCAATGAATTGTATTAGTGAGAATAACATTTATTAAACAATTTCATATAACTAATGAGAAAATGATAAAATTGTACATAAAATTTTAAATTTATATGATTTTACACATATATTTTAATAAAGTTTCTGATAATAAAGGCTAATAAATACATTTCTAACACACCGGTTTAATACATGCTGGGTTGATCAGCCAGTTTCAAATATATTATTGTATTAAAAACAAATNATATATTGATTATTGCCATTTGTGACATGCTATGACGAGCAAAAATTTAAAAAAAACTAATAGGTAGGTTTAAAATTAATAAATACAAATGTATTCTGGCAGTGAATGAGTTAATTATGCTTTCTATTTGCAAAACTCCTCAACCTTAACAAAAAATAAGAAAAAAAGTGAATTTTTAAGAAATTTGCGGGATTTCCCGGGATAAGAAAAATTTCCCGGGTTAAAAAAACAACCGGAATCCCGGGATCCCGTTTCAGAAACCCTAGTGTTGGCACAACCCACGGTCAACTTGAATGCTTCATAGCAGCTGACTGATGCAGGAACCATACAGTAAAAAGCTAGGGATGCCTATTTGCTAATTGTGTTACTTAGGATCCTCTGTGCTTAAGAATGGTTTGTCCACAACTAGCTAATTGGCAGCATTGCAACTATCATCACTGCCTCAGCCAATCCTACTAAAAGGAACTGCAAGTGCCTTGACCAACCACAAAGTGTTTACTTTTCCTGTCTCTAGCTAGTGGCCAAGAATAAGGTAGCAGTACTAGTATGTAGTGGAAAAAAATGGCAAAAGCATGGATACAGATATGTTTGGAAATGAAGCTATAAACTTTCAAAAATATTGATAGTGGAATGAAACAACAAATTGCAAAAGTATGGCATTGTAAACTGAGTGCAGTGTATAGTAAGTGGAAATTTAAATTCTTCTCAGAAGCATCTAAAAACACCTAATTGTGATGTCAACAATGCAGTATTCCATTGGTTTACTGAAATGTGGGCACAGAATGTATTTAAACTAATCTTCACTTTCTTAATTTTCTCGGTTCTTAAATTTCAAGACCTCACTACAATAACCCTGGTATAACAATACTATTTTCCTGGTCCCCAAAATATCATTGTAGTGAGGTTCAACTATATATTCACGTATAGGTTTGACATGGAACCTTGTGTGGAACCTTGGTTAATTAGGGCTCAGATAATCAGTATTCTTCTGTATATATGTATTAAGGTTTGACTGTTTGTCATAAAAAAAAGTTTTTTAAAAATGTTTTTGTTTATAAATACAGGCTTACTGTAAAGATTTAGATAATTTCTCAGAAGTATTTTAAATGTTACTATAAAAACTGGAAAAGAGGCAAAATCTCTGAAATTTTAGAGGCTTTTACAGATTTTTAATACAACTGTAACATGTTACCTGGTACACATTAATGTGGTAAACTGCACTCTTCTGAACTTGGCACTATCAATAGTGATAATACCAATATTGATTCATATCCTTGATATATTCCCATAGAAGTCACTGGGTGTCAGATTTGGTAAATACAAGGTCAATGTAAAAATGCTGATCTGTCTCTATCCAATGCTGTAACAGCTGGAAGTTCAGGTTCAGAGTACATTTTCTAATGGAAACATTTACACAGTGCCACCCATTAAAAAACAAAATCAACCTTATCTGTGGTTGAACAGAAATGCACTTGGCAAAATAAACGATGTATACCAAACCAACACATAGCCCATTCTACATTCCTGTGCAGTCCAATGATCCATTTTGTTATAAATTAGCAGCTTTTCGTGCCTTAGTCAGAAGGGCTTTTCTATATTGCGATAACATTATGGACAGAAATAAAGAAATGAAAAGGATTATGCAGATAGCAGAAACTTTGGGTTACAGGAGAAACATAATCGCTGGCATTATTAGAAAATTTGAGATAGGCGATACAAGGGCCTAGTAAATACACAAAATGTACATTCAACAAAAATGTAAGAACCGTCACGAAGGAGATTGCGGACAGTAAAGGATCAATGTTGATCTTAAAACGAGCTCCGAATCCGTACAAGATTCTAAGAAATGATAAAGGGGATATTAAGAAGGAAGATAAAGCGGGAGTTTATAGGATCCCATATGAGAACCAGCAGTTAGGAATAGAAAAGGAGTACATAGGGGTTACAATGAGAAATCTAGGAGTAAGGGTCAGAGAGCATAATTATGATATTAGAAAAAGATCTAACGCAACTGTTCTGGCCCAGATGGCTCAGGCCCAAGGATCTGTAGTTAGATGGGAGGATGTGGAAATCATCAGACAAGTGCACTCCTCAACTTTAGCAAAAACTGCAGAAAAAATGGAAATATATAGGGGCAAGCTAGATGAAAAATGCATAAACGCCAGAGATGCGGAGGGCCTACCCTCAGCATGGAAGTACGCCGTCAAAAAACTTACAAGTAGCTCTTGAATTGCACCATATCCTCAATTGTGTTATGGGAACCTTAATGATTTTTATTGGTTAACGGATAGTGGCTTATAATAATATTTAATAGTTGTATGTTATTTATTTTTACATTTATGTAATTTTACGCTTTAATTTTTATTTTAATTAGTTGCAACGTTGTCGGTATTTATCTCTTTGAATTTGAATTTGGTGTTCTATTTTTTGTTATTCCAAATTCGAATGTTTCAACCTGAGGATGATCTATGGAGTAGATCGAAAACGTTAGTTTTTAATAAGCTCCCTTGGCAACGAATAAGGTGTTTGTTACTTGCTTATCTGTGGTATTCATCAATCTGGCTGATCTAAAAATGTGACTTGATATAGAAGTTGCTTCTATTGATAATGTACGGCCATGTTCAAAACAGTATGAAAAAAGCAGACTTCTTCATTCATGTGTACCACGTGACAAATGGCAAGTCAAGTCATATTGAAAATCTGGAAAATCCTGTAAAAATTCTATTATTATTATTTGTAGGCAATGTCTCCTTTCTGCACAGTTTTTATGAATGTATGTACTGTAATGTATTGTTTAGATAATTTCTCAGAAATATTTTTGAGATAGAATGTTAGTGAAGCATCTTCTATGTGACTTGCAAAATTATGTTGTTCTGAAAATTTGATCTATCAATTTTGATTGAACTTTGCAATTAACTGAGATGAAGAATCCAAAAAGTAATAAAAAATGGAGGTCCAGTCCATCGCTTTGTTTTCAAGATATAGTAGGGTCAAAGTGATAATGTCCATGCTCCCAGATGTGATTCAGTGTGCCTAACAGAATTTAGGAAGAAAAAAAAACAACATTGTATGCACCTAATGGATAGTAGGCATGAAAAACAAACAAAACACAAGAACAAAGCAATTGGCATTGATTGTTTTGTTCTTGGACTGCCTCCTCTGTGAAGACAAGTACTGTACAAGGATCACCAGTCTGTGAAAAGCAAGTGTAAATATTGCCCCTTTCTTTCTGGCTTTGCCTCAATTCTATTGTGATATAACAAAGTTGCACACTCTTCTAGTAATATTTTATATTATTATTATATGTTTGCTATATATGAATAAATATATTTATTAACTAGGAGGCATGCTTTGTGCTTGCTTACTCTAAGTTTTACTCGCCTGTTCAAAAATTTTGTAAAGATTCATCAATTCTCAGTGCCACTGTTTTTTTTTCTTTTGATAGGAAAATGCAATGATGGTATTATATTTATATATATAAAGATATTTATATACATTGTATTTATTACTTTTCATTTTAATATCAACAACTGATAAAATATTTTTTGGATATACAGTAGAACCTCGAAAACTCGGCCTAATGTGGACCGAAGGGTGGCCGAGTTTGTGAAAATGTCGAGTTATCGGGAATGGGGTTAAAAAAAATAAGTACGAGTGTTTCCTCAGAAAATACTGTACTGTACTTGTATGCATTGTTTACTTGAGAATATAACAGAGAATAAACTGCCCAAATACCCTTAAACAAAGGAAAAGTACGTCCTTTATGAAGGCATAGAGCCTTTACTACATGAAAATGAAAATTAATGAATACACTGTGTACAGTAATTTACCTGATAAGACA